GGGAGCAGCCACTGTACTCCATTCTGGGTGACAGTGAGACTCCAACTCAAAAAAAAAAAAAAGATTAAAAAAATCTTTTCATTTTCCATAGTTTTTTGCCTAACCTGATTTTGAGTTGATCTTTGAGTTTACTGATATTTGTGAAACTTTAAATTTCTCTTTGGTTTATTTATATTCAAAATAATTTATTTGTGCCATAAAATATTACTTCTTAAGAAATTTTTTTTACACCAATGTCCTTCTTCTTTTTCTGGGAAGCCAAGGACCCTTTGATATTGTCCTACAAATCCTGAGGCTCAAATATTTTTTGTTTCCAAATGTTTCTCTGTCCATCCACTGAATTTTTCTTTTCAGTTATTTTTAAGTTCCATAACTTGGTTCATTTCAAGAGCATTTGTCCTTATTTCATGAAGCATGGTTTAGTAACTGTTCTCTAATGTTTTTTCCTGATATTTCCAAGATTTGGGATATGTTGGAGTCTTGACATCAGGTCTTTTCTCTTTTGAGCTGAGATTTTCTTGGCTCTTTACATGTTTAATAATGTTGGATTATATCCTGGACACTTGCATACGGATACTCAGAATCCTATTAAAATTCTCTGGAGAATGCTGAGTTTTGTTTTAGCAGGGAGATAATCTAGTTATGTTCTGCCAACCCACCTCCTGGATAAGCTGTGGTTTTGGTGTCAGTTTAAGTTTTCAAGTCTGTGTAGTGCTAGATCTACACCTAGTGTAGGGACCAGTCTACACAGTAGTTCAGTTCATAAGCCTTTACTAAGCTTCCTCAGATCAGCTCCATGCACATAAAGCTTTAGGGGATCTTTTCCTAACTTCCTTTTTGCTATGATCTCCTCCCTCACCATCCTCCACGGCCTTTCTCCTTTTTTTGTCCTTTGGGTAAAGCTCCCTATGCCTTCCCATTCCTGTGACTGGGTCTAGCTTGAGGCCAAAGTGGATTGGGCATTCTCCTTACCCTCTTTGGAGTACAGATGCCCCAATTTCCCAGTTCCTCTTGCCAGAGTAATGGATTTTCTGGACTCTCATTGTCTGCAGCACTGCTGCTTGCTGGAGTGCAGAACTATGATTTCCCCACTGTCTCTGGCCTGCTGGAGCCCTTTCCCAGTACTTTGTGAGAATGAGGGGAGAAAAGAGCTTCTCTTGGATATTTATATTCACCCCTAATTTGCAGTTCTGATAATTCAGTCTGTCCTAGTCTAGGCCAGGCAATATGAGAGGAAAAGAAATTCCAAAAAACTCTTCATCACATCAGTTGTTCTTCCACCTTTCATTTCCCTGACCCAATCTGCCTATTATTGGGTAGAGTTATCTATTTAATAATGGTCTATGTAATAATTTATCTACTTAATAATAAATTATCAATTTACTTCCCACAGGACTGAGATAGTTGCTTTGTTTATTTTATCAGCAGCTGTTAGTTATAACCACTGAGAGAGATAGAATGGAGTCCACTAGGACATTTCTAAAAGCAGGAAATCCGTAGCCAGTTTACTCACCTTATCAGAAGTCACCAGAGACTTGCCTTAAATTCTAATTTTGTATTGTTGTGGACACAGCATAGAGAGGGAGCAACGAATGACATGTTGCTCTAGCACAGTATGTCTACAGAAACCTGAAGTAAGTTCTGGTAAATGGGGCAAAATCATTATATATATGGTTTCTTTCATCTTCCTAAATTTGGTCCTGAACTAACTATATGGTGATTGCATGTAGGGTCACAATGCACCGTGACAGCTTCCTTGTAAATGAATGTAGCCCTTTATATGGGGCCTCCCTATAATACTCAACAGTCGTTGGCTACGTTAAAGACTTAACTTACCAGAGTCACTAAATTGCCCATGTATACAAAGGCCTCCTCCTTTCAATTTCCCTTTTTCTTGGATAACCAGCCAGGTTATCCTCTAGGATAGCTGTCACCTCGCCTCTTCTTTGACTCAGTTTAACTTCAACAAAGAACTTAATGAATTAACAGAATAGTTAATAGTTGTTCCTGAGAGATGCAAGCTAGAGTATATTGCACTTCCAAGCACCTATTAATGTAACATGGACAACAGATATGACAAAAACAATTTGTGAATGACTGCTTCATTCTTTTAGCAAAGACAGTCTCTTGGTATATATAGCACATGTATATATGCCATACACACACGCGCATGCACGTGTGTGTGTGTGTGTGTATAGAAAGATGACAAACAGTTCTACACTATTAACTTTTTAAAGTTAGGGTATCAGTGTAGGAAACAAAACACTCCATTATGTCTGTCCATGAATAGTACATTTTAGGTTACTGAGCTCTCAGAGAGACCTTCATGTCACTATTTTCAGTACTACTTCTTCCCTGTACTACCCTGGGGTTACTACTGCTAATGCATTAGCAAGCTTCAGGACATTAGTAATCCATACCATAGATTTTCCAGTAGCTGGAAGTTTAAAGCGTTATAGTTTGGTAACTTGAATCCATGTACCACTTCAGAAGTGTTTCATTTCATAATACATCTTTTTTTTTGGGGGGGTTGGAGTCTCACTCCGTTGCCCAGGCTGGAGTGCAGTGGCATACTCATGGCCACCGCAACCTCGACCTGCTGGGCTCCAGCGATCCTTCCGCCTCAGCCTTCCAAGTAGCCAGAACTATAGGCACGCGCTACCATGCCCCGCTAATTTTTGATTTATTGTAGAGACGATGTCTTCCCAAGTTGCCCGGGCTGGTCTTGAACCCGCAGGCTTAGGCAATCCTATTGCCTCGGTCTCCCAAAGTGCTGGGATTACAGGCTGAGCCACCGAGTCCAACCTCATAATATATCTTAAAGTGTTTGCTATGATCTTGATCCTTAGGTTGAAGGGCAACAGTCTACAGAAGAAACAGTAACGACAACCACAACCTCAAAATAACTTCTAGAACTTCAACATCGTAGATAAAAATCAGCAAGACGTTGTTACCACTGCCTGCGACTCAATCCTTTTCGACACGCGTACAGGCAATACCCTTTCCTGCTGGTAGGGCCTACACTACTAGTCGTTAGTGCAGCCCCCTGCCAAGCTCTCTCCAGTGCTCTAGGCTTTTGGTGTACTCAGAGAGAGCAAAGTTAAAAAAACAAAAAGAAATGTCTAAATTTATCAAAATGACAATGATACTCTGCATTCAATTAAAATTAATAAAAATATTTTATTGAATTTCAGGAACTTGGTACTTTTTAAAATTTAAAATCTTTGCACACAAATTACCACTATACTTTCTAGAATAGTGGAAGTTAGGACTTCAAGATTGTCACTTATCTCCTTATGTCACATAGCACAGAAATCCCAAGTCCTGACACTGCCCCCCACCCCCCCTTCTGGCCATGACTACCAACTACTCTGTTATTCTAGCAGAGGACAATGACGGAAGTGGGTAGAATACTGAAGGAGATCAACTGTCCACGAGCATACTATACTGAAGTGAGAGGAAGAGCAATCCAAAAATCATGCCACATACACTTTGGAATGCACTACATAATTTGGATCATATGTGAGTTTCCCTTTTGTATTCTTGTTTGGTTCAGGGCAAAGTTACTGAAATTAAGTTTCTAGTCCCTGAGGAGCTCAGAAGTTTGGCAAAGGTCAAGATTTCTTGAAAATAAGACACCAAGGAACCACAGTGGAGAGCTGGGAGTTCACTGCAACGTATTTATGAATGAGAGAGACATGTCCTGATGGCCTGGTGAGCCCCAGGAGCCATGGTAACAGCAGCTCAGTGACCCCTGGTATGTCGAGGGCTAAATTCAAATTTTAAGAACAGTGCGTTAAAGACTGGTTAAAAAAAAAACAACTGGTTTATGGTAGTTTGCTAATCCATGGTTTTGTTTCTGTCTTCTCCTTGATGTTCTAAATTCCTATGTACCAATGAAGAAGCAAAGTGAATAAGATAACGAGGGGAGAAAGGAGCGCACATGCCTCACCTCTGGGAAAGGCACACTTTAGTCTGGGCTCAAGATGGAGAATGCTGCTTTTCAGCAGCAGGAAAAACAAAAAAACAAAAACACATCTCCCTTCTTTCACACTGGAGATTTGGGCATTTCTATTTCCCATGATCCCAACAGGAAAATCCCTCTAGACTCTATAAAGTCTGTGTTTTAGGATCACAAGTAACCAGTTCACGGACTGAGCTTATATGTAGGGAAAATCTATTACAGCGTTTTTCTGGATGGTGATGTACACAGCTGCATAAGAACGTTTCCAGAAGGACGTACAGTTCATTTGCAATCTCCTCACCTGGATGGACCTGCCTGTTTCATCAACTAAGGCCTGGTCTCTGGTCAGGACTGTGTTAGCTGTGACCTACAGATCTGGACCCACTTCTGTGAAGTGACCTGACCCCACACACAGGACACAGTACGATCCCAATCACTCTGCAATTGCAAACCTTCTGAATAAGAAGACAAAAATATACATTCCAAGGATTTGTAAAGTGCTTGGAAGATGCAGATTGCTGCACTGAGGTGCTTTGATCCATTCAGTATGCTTTAGTTTGCTGTCACACACATGGTCTCATTCACATGATGGTTTCCTTTTTATTTTTTAAATGGCTGAGTTATAATCCAGCTAGTGTGCAGTGATTTCATATTTTTTTGTATGCATTATCTGCAATGACACTGTGACAGTGCCAAACTGTAGACTGCCACACAATACTTAGAACAGATTTATATTTGGTCTTTATGTAAATAAATGTCTTAAAATTGCCTAAATATACCATTCTGAGCCATTTCATTCCACCAGGAAAATAGTTTTCCTCTCTTAAAAAAAAAATTAAATACCAAAATAACTACATTTAAATAAATAATGTTATGATGATATTAAAAAATTCACAATAAGGCTAAAGCCCTATTTCTATGTGCACTGCTGCTCGGCCCTAACCCCAGAACATTCAGCGAGTGGTTTGCTTCCTGAGTCTGGGCTGAGGCTGAGGGGCCTCCCGCATCATTCTCTCACCTTTCCTCTCACTTTCATGTTTTACAGGAGAGAAGTCAGGCTTAGGACTGTATTCAGTTCTGAAAGGTCAGGGACGTGTCCTACTGCAAATCAGAAATGACCTAGATTATTCCAGCGTTTCACCACAGGATGCTGGCTCAGACCCTCGTGTGACAGGCAGTGCCTGCTCTGCCACGGCACAGCTGCTCTCACCATGAGTGGGAACATGGCAACGTAACTGAGGAGACAGCTGGTTTGATGATGCCTAGGGCCAGGGACGACACCTAAAACAGTGAACACACCACGGAGAGATCTGCACTTTGTTTGAAAAGGGCATGTGATAAAAGATTAAATCTTTTTTTCCAAATGAAGTAGTAATGGTTCTGTCATTTTAAACATACACAATACTTAGGAGACTTGTTTTACTTAGAGTGGAAAATTTTGCCAGGGACAAAATCAACACAAAGAAACAAACAACGAAAAATAGCAAGAAAGAAAACAGTTAAGTGCAGCTCGGATTGAGTCCCGGCAGTTCCCGACATGGGCTCGTCCCTGGGTTCTCATGGTTACACGTGCCGCAGTGTCCATCCATCCGTCCCACGCACTGAAATGGAGGTGGATTAAATTCATCAGGCAACTGCTCTAACATGGAAAATTTGCAGATGTCATAAAGTAGCTCCATCTGAACTTTAACAAGACAGACAAAAGTAAATCATTCCATAGGCCGAAAACAAACAACAAAACAAACAAAACTACGCTGTTTCTCTTCCCCAAATGAAATCCACATGAAAGGTCCTGTGTGATTCCAAAATTTCCAGAGTAGAAATGGAGTGATGTGAAATGTCAAAGACCCCATTATTTTGTAGAGAAAGTACACCTCGAAATATTCTAATTCCACATGTGAACAACAAAACACTGTCCTGCCTCCCAGCGCCAGCTGGTGGGTCCTGCGAGAGCGGGGTGGCCCCTGCCGCATCCTCTTGAGGAGGGCCCAGTCCTGGGAGATGCGCTTGCTTGCACCAGGCGCTGATCGCACCCTTCTCACATGAGGTGCTCAGTCCTTGCAGAAGGACTGTGAGTTTTACTCGTAGTTAAAAGCTGAGCCCAAAGGCAGCCCGGCGAGTTCTCGGCGGGGAGACATGGTCTACGGAATCAGGTTTTGTTGTGTGTGGTTTTGTTCAAGTGTGACTTGTGTCTTTAAGGAAGTAAGGAGTTTTAAGGCCACCTGGGTTTTGTGTTTTCAGTGCTGAGAGGTGAAGTCCAACCGCAGGGCCCTGCACCCACCAAGCATCGGTGGGAGGCGATGTCTCCTTTTGGCACCACAAAGTTGATATTTTTAAAGTAAGAAAACTCTCCCAGTCGCTAGTTTTGGACACCCTTTTCTCTCACAGCTGCCGGTGGCGTGTCTACACTCAGGGCAATGACGATGCTCTCGCCGTCTTCCGTCTTGATCCGCTTCAGCTCTGGCTGCTCCGGCTGGTCACCATTCTGGCGCTTTGTGGGCAGGGAGGCCGATGCGGACGCGTGGGTTGCCAACATGTGTAAAGGACTCGCCGCTGCTAGAAAGAGATGAGTGAGTCAGAACCCCATGCTCTTGGACAAACCCTCAACCCGCTAAGGCCCACCCCAGAACGCCCAGGCCCGCTGAGCCTCTCACAAGACTAGAGACTGGTCCGCAACAGCCAAGAGCACAAAAGCCTGGGCAGCAAGTTAACTGCCTGATTAGTGGATATTTTCATTAACAACTGGTATCTTGTTAAATCAAACTGCATGCTATGATGATGTCACTGCTGAAGGAGACAGTTCAGAGTCCAGTAGTGACTGGGACAGATGAGCGACAGTTCTGCTGTTGCAGTAAGGGGACCGCAGCTGCTGTTCTCCCCTATGAGGCCCCTTGTCACCCACCCACATTAGCTGCTCCCAGATTATTTCCACACAGGAGGAGGGGGTACGGTGTGATCTGCGTCACAGGAGAGAAACATCATGATTTCTCACAGGCTTTGCTCACCCATGTCTTCCAGGGTCAGTCCACAGCTGATTGGGTTTAATAATTTTAACGCTTTGCACTCGAATGTCCCCTCTGAGGGGACATTGTAAATCTAGTAAACCACTCAGGGAACATAAAGAGATTGCTGGTGATTATACAGAATAAACATACAAGCACAAATTTTTCAAGAATGTATGTTTCCTTGAAGCTTTCCATTCAACTTGCATGAAAAAGCAAATAAAGAGATGAAATATATATTGAGATATGACTGATCACTTGAGAAGTGCTTTTTAGGAATCATGAGTATGTCCTTCCACATCTTCAAACAACAGACTGGACAATAAATTACATATTATTAATGTGGGAGGAAGAAAACGAGACTGCACTGTTTGCTCGACTAGAAAACCACCAGGTGAAAGACGTCAAACAAATTACTATTGCACAACATGTATCAATGAACCTGCAATGCATGTCAGTAACTGTTTCATACATTACCACACATTAGAAAAATATAAGATAAAAAATTTTGGTTTTTGTCATAACTAAGTTCCTCAATGTCCAAAATTCCATTATAAGCCAAATATCATTACAATAAAATAACTGGTTTCAATGCTATACTGTTTAATATGATGTGTCTAGTTTTTCACTATTTCGTTAAAAAGTGCGGTCGAGTTGCTCTGATCTGTGAGAGGTCTCTGAGTGCAAAGGGTTAAACAGCCCAAATTTCCAGTCAAGACGTACAGGTAACAGGTACTATTATGTGTCAACTTGGCTGGGCCACAGTGCCCAGATAACTGGTGAAACATTACTCTGGATGCTGAGGCTTTCACAGATTTGAGCTGTAACAGTGACCCTTCCCTAGGGCCCCTGACCTGCCCTACAGATGTTGAACTTGGCAGGCTCCACAATCCATGAGCAGACTCCGTAAAATCTCTCCCTCCACACAAGCCTACCAGTTAGTTCTGCTTCTCTGGAGGACCCTCACATACACTGCCAACAAGATACTGCTATCTCAGCTCCCAGCAAAGGCTGGTCTTCTTCACGGGTGGCAACATATCCAGAACACACCAGAGGGCATTTCTCAGTGGGTAATGTCTGAGAAGTAAGCTGCACATCCCCAAACTATACACACCACTCAACCCACCCTTCTCCAACCTCAGATCCTCAAGAAACACTGTTTTAGGTGAACCAACTCAATATCATTAGAGGGAATGTACCTCCCGGGGGTATCCTCAAGCCCAGCTGTGAAATGAAACCCCTTCAAGCTGTACCGGGCACTTCAGAGCAGACCCCTACAGAGCAGCACCCAATTAATATCTATGGCCCTGAACACAACCACAAATGCAGCAACATCCAATGCCCATGCAGCACGCTTACTTAGTTCTAGTGCCCCATGGAGACATGAGAGCGAACTGCCATCCTGCTGGTCCCAGTTCCATCTTCTCAGGCTGCAAATACCAGGTGGCGACACCCACCTCTGAACTGGAGTCCCCTCTGGCAGTTCTGCCCGGTCAAGGCCCCACCCTCCGCTCCCAGCTCTTTCCCACCAGGTGGACACCGTACACAGCGAGCTGCTGGGTCAGCTCTAGGAATGTGCAGAGCTGTCATCCACATTGGGCTCCAGGGAGACTCAAGCAGCAAACAGAAACCAGCTGCATCTGGGTTCAAGGTGTGTGGCCCTGGAGGCCCCGAGGTCTCAGCTGTGGGAGCCCTCTCAATGCCAACAGGTGTTTCTTTCTGGCTTTGGAGAGAGCTTCTATTATGAATGACTCCAAACCCCAACCAGCATGTGCATAGAAGGAGCTGACTTCCCTGAAAACGCTAAGCCTGTCGTCACAGCTTGAGATGTATGACTTTATAGAGGGTCCTTTCTCCCCAGTCCTGAGCAACAGGAACAGCAGAAGAGATGAATCTGCATATAAGCAGGTGAACAAGAAAAGGTCACTTTGCATGAAGAGTGCAGACTCCTGTAAGCAGAAAACTGGTCTAGAGCCCAATGCAAGGGGAGCCCAGGCTCCAAGCCTGGGGGAGGCACAAGACCCTGCTGAGACCACCCATGTGACCTAGAGGAGGTGCCCTGGTCCCAGCATCCTGTCAGGGAGATCTCTTCATTCTGAGGGAGGTTTCCAGGTGCCTGGTGGCAGGGCCTTACCCACAGAGAAAGGTGCACATGCCCAGATGCACGTGCACAGCAAATGTCTGAGGAGCACTAATACCAAGAAAGAGACAAGGTTACTTACCATAGTTAAAAGTTTGTCCCTTCAAAACTCATGTTGAAATTTGACTGCCACTGTAGCAGTATTAAGAGATGGAGCCTTAGCCGGGCTCGGTGGCTCAGCCTGTAATCCCGCGCCTTTGGGAAGCTGAGGTGAGTGGATTGCCTGAGCCCGTGGGTTCGAGACCCGCCTGGGCAGCAAGACCTCATCTCTACAATAAATCAAAAAATCAG